CTTTCCCTTCCTCCCCTTTTTTTTAAGCGCCGACAGAAAAGTAGTGCCCAAGGTCTTTCCTAACAAACATAAAGTGCAAGCTCGCGCTAATTTTCCCAAACCCCAAAGGCATATGATTAATCAAGTCCACCAAATGCTTTTCCAAAATGAGGTTTAAAATCTCCCAAAATTCAAAAGAAAGTGGCATCGGGGAAACCACCATCGATATTTCCAAACTCATACCAAAATCAAAATTCTCCAACTTTCAAATTAATGGATAGCCTCATACATTAAATAAGCACGAAATCTTCCCATAAAGCTACATAAAAGCTCACGGCCAGGGTCAGTAGAGGAGGAAGCAGCCACCAAGGCTCTCAGCCAAGGCAAGGAACGGGGACACAAGAGGTTCACGGCTAAAGCAAGGGACAGTTGCCAAGACCCATATCCAAAGGCAGCCCAAGAGATAACAAGTAAGGCTTACGGTTAAGGCAACAAAGGGCCCAGAAAAGAACTGTTGAAGCTCACGGTTTGAGGCAGCAAAGAGCAGCTGCTAAAGCCCACGACCAGAGGCAACCCAAGGCACAAGTAAGGCATACGGAAAGAACCATCAATAGCTACTATGCCTTCTTGGCAAACATAAGAGGATAACTAAAGTGAATATAATTTTTGGGATGACAAACTTAATCCACCAATAACATTCAAGCCAATCAAGCTTAGCAAGAAGGACCAAATCACACCCAACGACTTCCAATAGGCCTCACGGGTAAGGACCAAAAGGAGAGGCAAAGAGGGTCAACCAAACTCCCAAACCAAAGCACACGTCACCCCAAATTAAAATTTTGCAAGATCAAAGTTGAACCACACCACAAGCTCAAACAGGGTCATCCCAAAGATGAGATCAAGCCCAATAAGGTCTAAAACTGCAACCATCAAATGACCAAAATATAACCACCACAATCCAAAACCGAGCCTAGCAAGGGCCAAAACAAACAAAGCCACACCCCAAATCAGCCTTAAACCGAGCCCAACAAGGACCAGCAATATTAAAATCCAAGCCTCCATAAAAAAATAAAGTTCTAGCCATTTCAAGCCAAAACCAAGCCGCAGCTAAGGTTCAAATTAATGTTACAACAAAATAGTCGAAAGAAAACATTTCCATACCCCTGAGACATTAAAATATAGAAACGACACATGCCTTACACAAGAACAACTACAAAATTATTGCGAATCAACATAAATTCATCCACCACACGTATATTTGAGCCAAGACACCGGTGGGATACCAAAACCGAGCCCAGCAGGGGCCAAAACCGAGCCCAACGGGGGCCTCCATAAAGGATAGAACTCTATTCATTTCAATTCCAAAACCAAGACTCCAAACCCAGCCAAAATCGAGCCCAACAAGAACCAAAAGCCAAAACAGAGCTCAACAGGAACCAAAAGCCAAAACAGAGCTCAACAAGAACCAAAAGCCAAGTCCAGCAATATTAAAAT